TACCCAAGCCCACCCACCCACCCCCCCTGCCCACCCGCCTGCCTGCCTGCCCGCCTGCCTGCAGAGGTGCAGCTGAATGAGGGGCAGGTGCGGGTGATCGAGGTGGCTTCCGACGCGCCGCTGGCGGTGGTGACGGGGGGCCCCGGCTGCGGCAAGACCACCGCCGTGCAGACCATCGTCAAGCTGTGGTGCGCGCAGAAGAAGGTGGCGCGCGTCGCGGCACCCACAGGTGCGGCTGGCGAACTGGGCTGGCTGGCTGGCTGGCCTTTATGTTTGGGGGAGCGGGCGGGCACGCAGGTGGCGCGCGACACACCCGCACGCCTGCCCCACCTGCCCGCCTGCTTCGCCTCCCAGCCGGCCCTCCTGCCCCGCCCTGCTGCCATGCAGGGCGGGCCGCGCAGCGCATGGGCGAGATCCAGGGCATCGAGCCCTGCACCATCCACCGCCTGCTGGGCTACCAGCCGCGGCGGCCGGGCGGTGGCGGCGGCGCTGGCGGCGCTGGCGCCGACCAGCTGGATGCGGCGGCGGAGGAGGCCGGGCTGGGCACGCACGGCGTCTTCACCTACAACAGGCGTGTTGAGGGGCTGGGCCGGCTGCCGCTCATGGGCAGGCTGTCGCTCATGCCATGCGCAAGCAGCGGACGCGTCTGGTATCCAATCCCGCCCGCCTGCGCAGCTACAACGCCCAACCCCTCGCCCAACCCCACGCCCAACCCCACCACCCCTCACCCCGTACAGGAACAACCCGCTGCCCGCGGATGCGGTGCTGGTGGACGAGGCGTCGATGCTGAGCCTGCCGCTGGCGGCGGCGCTGCTGGATGCGCTGCGCCCGCGGTGCCAGCTGGTGCTGGTGGGGGACGTGGACCAGCTGCCACCCGTGGGTGAGCGGGGCAGGAGCGTTGTGCTGGGAGCGTTCTGCTGGGAGCATGGTGCTGGGAAATTCTTCTGGGCATGCTGCCGCTGACGGTACCGCCCGGCTCTCCTTGTGGGCGGCGCTGGTCCTGCCCTGCCTGGTCTGGCTTGAGAGGCTCTGGCACACGCCCCCGGCTGACCCAGGGCCCCTCCTGGCCTGGAGAGCTCTCCTGACCGCCCCCCTGCTGGTGCCCTGCCCTGGTGCCCTCCTGCCGCCCGCCGCCGTGCAGGCCCCGGCGCGGTGCTGCAGAGCCTGATCGACGCGCGGCTGGCGCCTGTGGTGGACCTGCGGGAGATCTTCCGCCAGGCAGCGCAGTCAGCCATCATCACCTCAGCGCTGGCGGGTGTGTGCGAGCGTGCATGCATGCACCGGTGCCTGTGCGGCAGGGCGGCGCCGGGGTGTGCGGCGGGTGGCTGGGCGTGGGAGGGTGGCACGGCGGCGCGTGCGTGGCGCCGGCCTGCACGTGCGCAGCTTGTGCAGGGGTAGGCCAGGCCTAAACAACGCCGCCTGCAACGCGCCGGCCGCCCACCCTCCTGCCTGTGTCGCCCGGCGCGCCCTGGCGGCCCCCCCCGGCTGCAGTGCGGCGCGGCGAGGTGCCCATGCTGCAGCTCGTGGAGCCGACCCAGGCGGCGCTGGAGGCGGCCACCAGCGACGCGCTGCTGGTGTCGGCTGCCGCGCCCGAGGGCCTGGCGGGCGCCGTGCGCGCCACGGTGTGCGCCATGCGCCAGGCCCGCGGCTTCCAGGGCGGCGGCGAGGAGCTGGGCGCCGACCTGCAGGCACGCCGCGCTGCGCGCCCCGCTCCGCTCCTGTGGGGGTGCCGCCGCCCCAGCGATGCCTGGGTGTTGCGCACCAGCAAACAAGTTCTCCCCTGATGCGCCGCTGGCCGCGGATCCGTGGTTCCAAGTGCCACACCTGGCCACACCTGCCCGCCCGCCTCCTGCCCTCCCCTCCCTGCGCCCTCGCCCCCTGCAGGTCATCAGCCCCATGCGCAAGGGCCCCGCCGGCACCACCACCCTGAACCCCATGCTGCAAGCCCTGCTCAACCCGCCGTCCCGCGGCAAGGCCGAGCTCCCTCGCCACCCGCACGCGCACTCCGCCGCCGGGGGCGGCGACTCGGCGGCGGCGGCCGGTGGCGGTGGCGCCGGCGCCGGGTCTGAGGGCGGGCGCGTGTTCCGTGTGGGCGACCGTGTGATACAGCAGGTCAACAACTACGATAAAGAAGTGTTCAACGGGGACCAGGGGCGGGTGAGCGGCTGGGGCGGGCAGGCGTGGGGAGGAAAGCGT